AAACCGACTGAGCAAGGCTAGTGCAAATAGTAGCCTCCTGAAGGCCTAGAATTATTACACCCTATGTTTTCATACATGTAAGTACGCCATAAGTAAATTGATATAAGCTCGGAAATGAGATGTTACATTCCGCATTTTCGTACGTTAAGGTTTTGTCATAAGTTAATCAACGTAATTTCGGGAATGAGATATATTTTAGGATTATAAGTATTACGCTATTTCGAACAAGTGATAAGCTAATTCGCGAAGGTGAGAAAATAAGTTCTGCCGAAGTTTGGCAGTTTGGGGATAAAATACGGTCCAAGCTATAATACCCCATGTTCATGGACTAGTGTCATACAAGGTACCACATGACCATGATAGTAAGGTATATAAAGTGTGTTAAAAATGAGTAGTATTTTAAGTTATTTGAGATGTCTATGTTCTTGAATTCCCATATGTCTTATTATTCTATCGTCTGTTCATGCGTCTCAGAAAATACGTAAGTAGATAAAGTTTGTTTCATGATATTAATCAGCGGTATAATGGTCTTATGACGTTTCGAGAGATTTTATTGATGTACTTCTCATGCATTGCATTCATTTATACATGTACATTGACCCATGACCAGACGACGTTATATACGTGTATGTGTGTGTGTGTGTGTGTGTGTGTGTGTATATATATATATATATGAACACATGTACCTATGCATGACATGACATTCATACGCATATGCATGACACTATAAGTATTTCATAATTTACAGAGTTATCCAGACTTACATGTTGAGTCATTTACTCTATATTTCTTCCATGTCATGTACTTATTTATGTGCCTTGCATACTCGGTACATTATTCGTACTGACGTCCCTTCTGCCTGCAGACGCTGCGTTTCATGCCCGCAGGTCCTGATAGAAAGGTCGAGAGACCTCCCAGTAGGCTATCGGCTCAGTGAAAGATGTTGGTGCGCTCCATTTGCTCCGGAGTTGCTTGTTTGATCAGTACGATTTTGACAAGTATTATTTGGTATGGAGGGGCCCTATACCGACCTTTATGTTAAGTGTGTACTCTTAGAGGCTTGTAGATAGATGTCATGTATAAGAATGTTTGTCTGGCTTTGCCGGTTTATGTTTTGAGTTTACAAATGATCATGTTGGCCTTATAGGCCAGTATATCACACATATAAGTTTTTATATCAGGTTGGGTCATCCTATATTGAGTATAACCCTATGTTTATCCCGGTTAGCCCATGACGGCCCGTTTGGCCCATTTGCCAATGAAAGTACAAAAAGAAAGATATGTTATGTTGTTACTCGGTTAAGTAAGGTACCGGGTGCTCGTTACGGCCCATAGGTTTGGGTCGTGAAAAAAGTGATATCAGAGCAGTTCTGTCCTTGGGAGTCTACAAGCCGTGTCGAGTGGAGTCTTGTTTATACGTGTGTCGTGCACCACACTTATAAGCAGGAGGCTACAGGGCATTTAGGACTATCACTCTTTCTTCTTACTCTAGATTGTGTGGTAGAGCTCAATTGTAAGAACTCAATTTCCCAAACTCTATCTTATTCGTAATACAACGATGCCTACATTTAGAAAGACGATCGGCAAGAGATATAGTTGTGGAAGTGTTGAGTCAGAGGAACTCGATTTTGCATCATGCTTATGATGAGTAAATGTAAGGTCTTCAACAGGCAATGCATGTACTAAAAGGTGTAAGTTTCTTGATAAGTAGTTTTAAGGCAAGAATACTTATCCACTCTTACAGTAAAAAGGAATAACAGAATCGGAAGGTAGTCACAAGTTTCAACAAGTAAAAGAAGCAATGTGAAGAAGGGTATGAGGTAGCCCGTTAATAAAGATTATCATTGTTTATCATTTAGGAAGGGAGATATAAGCATTTTGAGTTACCTTCAACAGTAACAGATGTACATACAATCGGCAACACCTGTTACGACCCAAACCGATGGGCCGCGACGGGCACCCGGTGCCCTTACTCAACCGAGTACCAACATGACATATCTTTCTCATTACATCAACATGGGTAAATGGGCCAGAAGGGCCATATAAAACATGAGAGAACACTTAACATAAAATGACCCAACCTTATATACATATGACGTACGGACCTATAAGGCAAAAATAATTACTCGTACACTGAACAAAGGCCGACTAGGCCATACAATCTTTCATATACATGACATGTGTCTACAAGCCTCTAAGAGTACATGAACGTCATAAGGCCGGGAAAGGGCCCCGACACACCAATCGATACATGTCTAAATCATACTAACCAAATAAGCAACTCCGGAGCAAATGGAGCGCAGAAACATCTTTCGCTGAGCTGATAGCCTACTTGGAGGGCGCTTAACCTGTCTATCGGGACCTACGGGCATGAAACGTAGTGTCCCCAGGCAAAAGGGACGTCAGTACAAATAATGTAACGAGTATGTAAGGAATGAAAATCAGTAAAACAATAGAGATGAGAGAAACATGGAGTAAAAGACTCAACGTGTATATCTGAATAGCTCTGCGAATCATTTAATATTATAATGTCATGCATATGCGTGTAAGTGTCATACCATGCATGGATATATGCGTTCATAACATCATCAAGCCTCAGAGGGCATCCCATCATATATCTCGGTCACTGTGGGCAAATCATCAACGTATACCAGCTGATCAGGTGGTGGTACGTATATAACGCCGTAATCTTTTCCCATATCCCATATACATATATACGCGTATATAACGTCATCTGGTCATGGGTCAATGTACATGCATAAATGAACGCAATGCATGAGAAGTACGTCAATAAAATCTCTCGGAACGTTATAAGACCATTATACCTCCGACTAATATCATGAAACAAACTTTCAGCTTACGTATTTTCTGAGACTCATGAACAGATTATAGAATAATAAGACATATGGGAGTTCAAGAACATAGGCATTTCTAATACTTCTAAGAATAGAGTCATTTATGGAAGTTGTGCATTTGCTCGTCTCGTTCGTGTCGCATAGATCATGCCAAAAAGAAAGAAGGGATAGCCTTAACATACCCGAATCGACTCTCTTAACAATCTCTCTAACACACGTCAATTGCGACAACACGTAACGGCATCTCGAAGTAGGGAAAAATCCGCGTGAATTCATTTGATGAAGGTTGTTATTTGGTACATGTAAAACATCTCCATTTCTTTGTAACTTTGATCATAATATATTGTACAAACTTTCTTGTTGAAACTGCGTAACTTTTGAAGATAAAGTTTCTCCATTTTTGTGAATTTTGTATTATTGGATGGGCCCCACAATTGTGATGACCAAGCCTTTAAATGTGACACCTTATCCACTTAGCCAAAGAGTCATATTTTTGATTTGTGAGTCATTTCATTTGCTGCCACGTTTGGGCACCTTAGGCTTATCCAAGATTCCTTAATCAACTTTGTTTTCTCTCATTAATCCAATAATTTTTTAATTATAAGTTAATCTCCCATTTAAAAATTTATAATTACCAAATTATCCACATAATTAAGAATTATCTGAAATTACTTAAAATACTACTTATTTTAACACACCTTATGCACCTTACTATCATGGGCATGTGGTACCTTGTATTGTGCTAGTCCATAAATACCAGGTATTATAGCTCGGACCGTATTTTATCCCAAAATATCAAACTTTGACGAAATTCATTTTCTTTGATTTGCGTACCTTCTCACCTTCACGAATTTACTCATCACTCATTTGAAATAGCATAATGCTCATAATCTCAAGACAATCTAATTCTCGAACTTACGTCGATTAACTTACAATGAAACTTTAACGTACGAAAATGCGGGATGTAACATCTCATTTTCGAGCTCTCATCAATTTATTTTATGGCGTACTTTCATGTACGAAAATATGGGGTATAACATCATTCCCCCCTTTGGAACATTCGTCCTCGAATGTTGACTGATATACTTATCATTCTCATAACCCATAGCTCACTTTAGTACTCCTCTTGCCAACTAGGCAGTTGTTCTGTGAATAATTCCAAAGGCCAGGGCATTCCCTCCTTTAGGCCCCTTCCTCACACCACAACTTGTGGTCGGAATCCTTCCAATCTCGTAATTGTTACTACCTTCTATCATGCAACATGTACGACTCTGACCTTGTAAGTGCGCCTATATGACTCTTCTCTCCTTTTTCCTCCAGCTTTTAGCCCATCTCTAGGCCTTACTTTGTAAACATATACAGAGCTTGACAAGATGTCCCTTTGGGCATTTATAGGTATACTGAAGTTCTTTGCTCGGTACTTTGTCGAACTTACGAATATTGCTATATCTCATTTCATAAGCTCGGTTATCTATCAACATGACTTTACTGCATCTAAGTAGGTCATAATATACCATTATTCTTACCTCGATTTATCGTTACTGAGGTCTGCTACCAAACTCCAGGTTACGTTCGTTACTTATGCCATATGTATAAATCTAGGTCTTTTAATGCTTCCTCATTATTGATCTTCTTAAGAATGACGGCCTAATCTTACCTGATACTTTGTGACATTTGTCCATCCATTTTTAATTCACCTTAATGTTGATCTATCATCTACTACTGATAACTTGATCTCTTATGTAACACAGCCGCTAGGGCTCTGATACGGAATTGTATCGAAAACACAGATATAGCAAGAACACATGGAATCAAAAATAAGAGCTAGACCTACAATTGATTAGAAGAACAAGAACCAATTAAGATATGAAACCTAATTACCTCTATGAACTCAATCAATTGTAATCCTAAGCTATGAACATAAGAGCTAGACCTACAATTGATTGGAAGAACAAGAACCAATTAGGATATGAAGCCTAATTATCTCTATGAACTCAATCAGCTGTAACCCTAAGCTATGAAACCCTCAAGAGATTGGCAACTCTTAAAAATTCAGATAAAGTAATTAAGCAATTAAGCATTCACTACTAATTGCTCACCAACTAAAACTAATTTAACACTAATGAAAGCAATAAAGAAATTAAAGGCGTAAACAAAAATGCATTAATTAAAAGATAAGGATAAAAGGTGAGACTTGCATGTCTTCAAGTTTATAATTCATCAAGTCTACCTAAAATAAAAGCCTTAAGGGCTATTTATACTGGAGTAGGTATTTAGCTACAAATAACCCACAATAAAAGCCTTAAGGGCTAAGTTAATTCTAAGGAGCTTACTCAATTATTACAAGTATAGCCTTTTTGATCTTGACTCCTTTAAAGCACTCCAATGCTATGATGTTGACTTGGAAATAGTTAGGCATGCTCATCCGGCATGTATCATCCTCCCCCACTTGAAGAAATTCATCCTCGAATTTGGACCTTGCAAAACCAAGAAAGAGGCAAACATAAGTACCAAGCCAATCACAAGAATCAAAGCATTGTATGTCCAAGCTAAAAGATCAAAGATCGCAATTTGGCACTCAAAAGTAACACTCTTATGATATAGCCAAGTGTCATAATCTATAAAGAACACAACTCCAACACAAACCTGATTATAAGAAAAATAATACTCATGAAAGAATCAAGAGAGTCTAAAGTTTCATGCTTCCAACAAAACCACAACCTTGTAAGATCCTCAACAAAGGGCACACTTTTATAGTATAACCAAGTGTCATAAGAAGCATAAAAATCATACTCTCCAACCCAAACAAAGACACTTCACCAAGATAAGAAGCAATTCCGGGGTCAAACACAAATTTTAATCCCCAAATATCTACACACTTTCCAACAACTTCACATGTCAACTTAAGAGATATGCCAAGCTCATCATGAATCATCATATAAAGAATATCACAATACTCAAAGTTAAAAGTCTGGACTTAGATAAACACAAGATAAGCATAAGCCAAACGTACATACCATTCTTGCTTTTGGGCAAAAAAAAGCTCTTGACAAAAAGTATGCCAAAGTGTTAGTTCAAGGCCTTTCTTACCCTTAGCAACTTTCTCTTGTTGAACCCTTCACAAAACATAGGTTCTTTTTGCTCAAAATGGTTACTAAAAACACCAAAACAAACATTCTTACCTTTTCTCATAGAAGCATTAGCAAAAGAGAATGTTCTTTCAAAATTAGGAATAAGATAAGAAAAGCAATTAATACTAGTTCTAGCATCAAAAACTTTATGTTCCTTTTCACACTCAAAAAAATCATCACATAAATTTGCATAAGAGTAATCAAGATCAAATACAAGAGAAGTCAACTCATTGGAATACAAATGGAAGTTTCCTTCTTTTATATTTATGTCATTATAACTAAATGGTTCACTCTCCAACAATGCATCTCCACACTCACGTTTGCTCATTTCACCACAAAAATTGAATCTTTTTGCCAAAGGAATGAAAATAGAACCTAAAGAATAATAATCAACACATTCTTCTTGACTCATTACTTCATAAAGGTCAAAACTATCTTCCATCAAAGTTAAAGTAGAGTCAAAAGAACCATCACATGTATCATCCCATAAAGGTGGGGTATCATAAGATTCAACATCACAACATCACTAGCTAAGGAGCCATTAAACAAAGAACCAGAATCATCTAATGATGCACAAGAACTCCTATCCAGTTGCAAGCCATAACTATTTTTCTCATTACAAGATAAAGAAGTATCAAACTCATCAATGTCATAGCTATCTTTCAAACTCAAAGTGTCGCCACAATCAATTAAAGTATCATGAGTAGAAGGATAAGCTATTTTACCTTGAAGCTCTTCTAAAGTGAAATTCTCTTTACCTTGAACTTCTTCATTAAATTTCAAAAGCTCTTGAAAAGGTAGCTTTATCTTCTTCCAAGTTCATTAAAGTAGATTGAACTTCACTTGATGGCTCATCTCCTAAAATTCCTTCACAAGATACAAAACAACTAGAGAAAGAAGAAAGGTTATTAGCATTAGAATAAGGAAAATCCTCACTCTTTTTTGTTTTCCCTCTTTCTTTTTTCTCATTTTCTTTTCAAGCTCTTCATTCTTTTCTTGTGACAACTCACTTACTTCACTCCACACTTTCTTTCCTTTTTCCATTTTAGAGTTGTCACTTTTCTCTCCCTTACTTCTCTCTATCTTTTGTCTCTCATCCTTACTTTTTCTCTTTGCATTTTTCAAGGATGTTCTCAAAATCATTTGGCCTCTTCCCCTTTGGTTCACTTTATTACCCCTATATTTATCATGGAAAACTTGTTGGATGTTGTCCAACTCATTCAAGGTGGTCTCATGATCATATTGAAAAAGTGGGTTATTAATCATTCGAGGCTCTTGAGGTGGTATGGGTGGTGGAGGAGGGAGATTGTCCCTCCTTGGTGGTTCTTGAGGCATACGTTTGGGAGGTAGATCCATTGGTGGTCTAGGTTGGGTCATTGGGGTGGTGGAATTATGGGTATGTGTGCTTGAAGTCTCAATGGTGGTTTGTGTTGGGTGTTGGTAGTTGGTAGGTGGACGGTAGTTTGGTGGAGGAAAAGAAGGTCCCTAGGTCCCTTTGGTGAATGTGGTCGCTTTGGTAAGTTTTGTGGTATTTGGTTGGGTTGGTTTTGTTGCAAATTTTTCCTTTGAAGCATTTGTCGCACTTGTGAAGGATAGGGTGTAGTAGAGGAATTAGTACGCGTCATACTACGCTCCTTTCCTTGTTGCCTCAAGTGAGATTCCTCTATCATGGAATTCAACCTTGCATCCATTTGGTATTTCCATATGGTAATATTGGTAACCTTCTCACTTAAGTTGGTAACCTTCTCGCTTATGTCATAAAGCATAGAAACAACTTCATGCATCGGAGTCTCATTCCTTGGATAACAAGTAGGACTAGAAGTTTGTCCGTACTACATGATACCTACAAAACGAGCAAACAAGTTAGTAGTAAAAGTCCTCACCAACTCACTTGATGTCGCTCAACCCTCGTGTATCACACTTTGCACCAATTGGCTCTTGTGTGCTCAAAGTCCTATTCACTCTTGCCTTTTTCCGCTCAAGTAGTGAATGTCAAAATTGCTAGCAAACTTATGTCCCAAGGTTTCACAACAAGTTCCAACCGTCTTCGGGGTGGAGTGGAAGTTGTGTATTCACAAGGACGGACAATTAAAAGCAAACAGACTTGACCCAAGTAATTCACAACGAAAGTAAAAGATAAAAGCACGAAACAATTGGCATGAAATACACAAAGCACACAAGAAACTAGAATTAAACTTAATATGAACTAATATCAAGTTAATCTAGTTAAGAATTAACAAACAAGAAGAAAAGATTAACCGGAAAGAAAAGAGAACTAGGGAGAAACTTCTGGACTTGTTGCAATCTTCTGGAATTGATACTATGCTCAACCTTTCAGTCCATAGCAGAAACAAAGTCAGCAATTTTGGAACCAATCATAGTAGAAACAGGGCAGGTTTACTACTCAAAATACTGTAGATTTTCAACTCAATTTACAGTTCAATTGGCTCCCAAACACAGCTCCATAGTGCCGGAACAATGCTGAAACTTGATCAGGTCTGCAACTTCTTTCAAGTTCAATCAGTGTAGAAAATTAGTTGTACTAAGAATGTATTTGATTCTTGGAACCTCTCTGAACCGTTAGCTTCAACAAACAGAACCTTAATCAATCAGCTAACAACCAACTTGTTATTCTCAAGCAAGTTGCAGGTTTCACAATTTCAAATTGACTCAGCAACAATGTTCAAGAACCATCACTGACAATCAGCAGCTAACTGGTACCTTTGGTGCAAAATAATGCAGCAGAAGCTGGACTGTTTGCAGCAGTGCAGAAGATTCAATCCAAATTGTGCAGATTTTTCTGCGCAAAGAGTGCAGAAACAGGGCATAAAACTGCAAAGTTTCTTAGCTCCAGTGCTAGTCGAAAATTGCAGTTTCAGCAGCTCAAACAATAAAAGAAACAAGACAGTAGTATATGCCGTAGCTATGCCTAACTATGGAGATAAAATGCAGCTCAAATACGGTTACAAAACTGGAACAAAACATGTGTAGAAATTGTTTCAAATACTGCAGATTTTCAGCAGCTCAACAGAGCAGAAATATATGTTGCAACAGTGCAGAGGTTTCAGCCCAAGCTGTGCAGAAACATTTGCGCAAAACTGTGTTGTCTTTAACTTGCACAAATAGGGTGCAAAACTAGATTTTCTAGCTGTAGACAGTGCAGAATTTTATGTAGATTAAGCAGTCCAAATAGTGTAGCAGTCTCAAGACTGATCACAAAGAGACCTGAAAATTGGATTGTCCAAAATTGGTGAAATTTCCATTTTAAGTGCTATTAATGTTCAGCAGTGTACTATCAAAATTTTCAGAAATCCAAACAACAATAACTGGAAAACTCCACAGTGCAGAACCAAGATAAAAGTACAGAATTTTCAGCAACTTAACTGGACAGCAAACTGCAGTCATAAAACAACCTCTCTCACCCTACCAAACTTCAGCAGTAAGAATACAACCTCACTTTCCAGAAACTTGCTCCCAAACTTCTTTGTTTAATACTTGAATTATCAACAACACAAAGCAACTTATCCACTTTAACTCCACAAAACTTCTCAAATTCGATTTCAAACTTGCAGCAGCTAACAACCAGTTAAAACTCAAACAATTCAGTCTCAACTCAGAAATGTAGTCGAGGTTTTTGAGCAACTAGAGCAAAATTTCAGCAGAACTTCAGAAGATATTCACTTCAAACTTCGACTATAGCAACAGGACACTCTAAAGCGATTTACCATTCTCACATTCATCCCAATCAGTAGATACGAAGACAAATTTCGGCTCAAGCAGAGATAATCAACTCAAATTCCTAGAAATCAGAATTCAAAGATAATTTTTCAGGTGTGTTTCAAAAGAACAAACTAAGATCTCCTTAAACTTTCAGAAACAAGCTAAGTTTAAGCTCAGAAATGAAACCTGAATCGTTGTGACGAATGAATTGGAAGTTCGTGGTGATAATTCAGTTGCAAACGAGTCCTAGAAAATGGAGAACACAGCTGCAATTTTCAGTTGCAAATCAGTGGCAGCTGTTCTTCGTCGTCTTGAGAGAATCGACTCCAAAAAAATTTCAACCTAAAATCAACTCGAATCAGCTCTACAGGCGTCCTCTTCGATTTACCAGCTGCTCGAATCGACTCGAATCAGTTCGGGAAGATCTTCAATGGAAACAAGTGTTCTTCGACTGATTCAAGCTCCGCAAAAAATTCTCAGTTCAATCTCACTCAAATCTTCACACAACGAGTTCAAATTTGATATACGAGCTCCATTCAACACAAAAACAATCCCCAACGATTAATTTCTAGACAAGACTAGGTCTTTTCGGTCCGGAGCCGGCTGGTAATGGACCTACTTACCTTGCTTGTAGACCTGCTGCGGAGCTAACCCTTGTTATCAGAAGAACCCAGCCTGTCGTGATCTTCGCAGATTCCGTTAGAAAGTTTTCTGACCAAACCCTAACAAATCAGCCCCATAACAATCTAAATCTTCAGATTTCGCTATCATAATTGACTTGCCAGTGAATTTAAGAAACACCCAATCGATCATTTTTTAACCCTGATTTCAGAATGAAAACAACCCAGCTTCTTCGTTGAACTCGGCAAGGCCGGATATCAAATTATGACCTCGAAATCAATCGTAACTTCGAATTTCAGCCTAAATTCAGTAGTTCAAACTTAGAAAATGAACAAATTAGAATTTCAGAACCAAAATCTTTAGAGAGAGAACAAGGAATTTGAATTTTAGCACTATACACACAAAAAACAGTGATAACAATATCGGATGAACAGAGAACTTTCTATTTTTGGATATTTTTTTAATTTTTTGAATTGTTGATAATCAAAATAAAGACCAAAGGATTGGTAAAACAAACCAAAACCTTCGCTCTGATACCAAGATTATACGGAATTGTATAAAAAACACAGTGATAGCATCCATGGCATCTCAACATCATTAAAGGAGAAGGTTGAAGCTCTGGAAGTTTCAAGAAGGCCCATGACAACGTCTCAATCAAAGAAATTTCAAGACAAGCTTAATAGGCTTCAATTGGCAATTAAAAAGTGCCTTATAATAGAAGAAGAGTTTCAGCACAACGAGGATCTTTAGGCCAAGTCTTACAACTATTTAGAGGCCCAAATTACAGTCCAAAAAGAGATGGAATGAGGCCCAAATATGCCCCAAAAAGAGGAATTTTTAGCAGCTCAAATAAGCCCAAAAATTGTTTCTAGAATATATATTTAATAGTTATTTTAATCTATGTTGACTTGCATTGGTCTGTGTGTATGTTGACTACATTGGTCTTTGTATGGGTAGTCTTCTATGTTTCTAGGGAATATAATTCTCATTTATTGAAGTCTTGACTAGCTCCTTCTCTATTATTATATAAAGGGGTGCTTGTCTTCCATTGTAGAGGACATTGAAGATTAATATTATTATTGTGAGTGCTTTTGAACCTTTGTGAATTTTATTTTGAGATGTATCTTGCAACCCTAACTAGTACATAGCTTAAGGTAGTAAGATAATTTTCTTTCTTGTGATATCTTTGGTTTCTTTTGATATTCTTCGAAGGCGACTAGTTTCTTTTACTAGTTGTTGTTGTAAGTTATTCAAACTAAAAGTCAAGATCCGATTCTAGTTCTTGATTAGCTTATCTCTAGTGAAGGCAATTTGTTCCAAACCAACTTGTTGTCATTAGGATCTTGTCAAATCTATATTAACATAATCTCGGGGTTCTTGGACCTTTCCTTGAACTTCCACATATCTAGTTTATTTTTCTTGCTTTTCTTAATTCGATTGCATTTCTTTATTGCTTCTGCATTCCTTCAACTTATTTTCTTTACGTTCTTGGATCTCCCAACCTTTCTGTCATCAAGTATCAAGTGGTATCAGAGCGGTTGTATCAAGATTTCGTTCTTGATAAATCTTAGGGATTTCTGAACAAAGGAGCAAAAAAAAGTAAAAAAAAAAAACGAAAAAAAAATCTTTCCAAAAAAAAGGGAGAAACATATTGCTATTGAAGAAATCAAATTTTATTTGTATTTGTTTCCAACTTCAAGAAAGGAAACAAGAAGAGGGGATCCTAGATCTTTAAGGATAAGAAAAAAAATCAATTTTTTTACTCCTCTGATCTTGTTCTAAAAATCATTTCCTTTATTCGAGTTTTGTTTCAACTAAATCCTACACTTTCTAGGATTGGTTCTTCACTTTCTTTAGTGCCCCCAAAATTCCTTATTTTACTACTAAGGGCTTTGATACGAGTTGGGTTTAATTATAAATCTACAAGGTATTTTCCAGAGGTTAATTGAGGAGGAAAAGGTAAGAGTGGGTGAGAACAATTGAGGGAAAGAGCCAAAGTTTGAGTGATAACTATTTTTTTTCTTTTTAAAGATGTCTCATACAGGTGCTAGTGATGATGAACTGAGGGCTCTTCAGGAAGCTGAAATCCGAGCAAGAAATGATTTCACTCTACAAGCCATGCATCAACAATTCGAGAGATGGAACTTGCAATTCCAAGAGATAAGGAATACTATTGCTAAACAAAATGAGACAATAGCTGCACTTAGGAGGGGAAATCAACCTGATGTACAACCTCGAAATAATCCTAGGCCTCATAATAGAAGAAATGTACCCATGCCCCTATTGTAAATCAAGAAAACCCTATAGATGATTTTGTTGATGATCTTGATGTAAATCTAGATAGGATGGGAAGAGATAGGAGGGGACAGCGAGGTAAAGCAGAAGATAATATTAGTAGCATAAAAATGAAGATGTCATCTTTCAAGGGAACAAGAGACCCAGACTTGTACCTTGACTCTGAGCGGAAAGTTGAGGCCATCTTTCACTGTCACTGGTACTCTGAAGGTAAGAAGGTTAAGCTTGTTGTTGTTGAATTTTCTGATTATGCTTTTATTTGGTGGAAAAAGCTTACAAGGGACAAACAACAAGATGGAGAACCACCAATGGCTACTTGGACCGAGATGAAAAGAGTCATGAGGAAGAGGTTTGTGCCTTCTCACTTTCAAAGAGACCTGCAACTGCGTCTTCAGACCTTGAAGCAAGGAACCATGACTGTTGATGAATACTTTAAAGCTATGGATATGGCTATGATCCAAGCTAATTGTATGAAAGAAGAAGATGCCACTATGGCTAGATTTCTTAATGGTTTAAATAGAGAAATAACTGATGTAGTAGAGATACAACAATATATAACTATAGATGAGTTAGTAGATTTGGCTGTAAAAATAGAAAAGCAAAACAAAAAGAAGGCAGCAAGCTAGCTCATGGAGAAGTCGGCCAAACACCAATTCCAAGAAACCATGGCCAAAACAAGAAGTGATTCCTAGACCTCAAGAAGACAATGGGAAAGGTAAAGTTGATGAGAAAGGGGGAGGTAAAGCTTTCAATTCTAGATCCTTAAAACCTTCTAGTTCCATTCAATGTCACAAATGTCATGGAAGAGGTTCATATGATGCATGAATGTCCAAATAGAAGAAATATTCTTTTGAGAGAAGATGGAGGATATGAGAGTGAAAAAAGTGAGGAAGAAGAGGGAGGAGTAAGTGAAGATGATGTAGAACTTCCTAATGATGGTTTGGTTGGGGGTAATTAGGAGGATTATAGATGGAGAATATGAGGGATAAAAAAAGTGAGGAAGAGGAAGAAGAGGAAGGTGTAGTGAAGATGATGTAGAGTTACCTTTTAATGATGGTTTGGTTGGGGTAGTTAGGGGGATTATGACTATTAATTTAGGAATCAATAGTGAAGAACAAAGAGAAAATATATTTCATACTAGGTGTGGAATAAAGGGAAAAAATTATTCTACGATTATTGATAGTGGTAGTTGTGCTAATGTGGTGAGTTCACACTTGGAGAACATGTTAGAGCTTGCATGCATGAAACACCCTAAGCCCTATAGACTCCAATGGTTGAATGATAGTGGTGAACTGAAAGTCAACAAACAATGCATGATTTTCTTCAATGTTGGTAGGTATGTGGATGATGTTCTTTGTGATGTGGATCCTATGCAAGCTTGTCACATCTTGTTAGGTCGTCCGTGGCAATATGATAGGAATGTTTTTCATGATGGAATAAAGAATAGATATTCTCTTGAGCTTAATGGCAAAAAGTACACTCTTGCACCTTTAAGTCTTTCTCAAGTGTTTGAGGATCAAAAGAGATTGAGAGAAATAATGGGAAAACAAAGGGGGGGGAGGGGCGAAAAAGTGAGCTTGAGGGAAAAGAAAAGAAAGAAGGCCAAGAGGTAGAAAAAAAGAGAGATGGCCAAGAGAGAGAGGGAAGCAACTTGAGCAAAGTGGTAAAAGAGGGTTTGAGTAATTAAAAGGAAAATTTTGGTGAGCGGAAAGAGGCAAAGGAAAAGCAAAAGGGGAGTCTGTACATAAAAGCCAAGGAGTGTTTGAACGCAAGAAAAGAGGGGTTGCCCATTATACTACTTACTTACAAAGAAGTTTTGATTAATTCTGAGTTACTAACTTCTTCTTTGCCAAGCTTCTCTTTTGCAGGATTTTGATGATATCTTCCCCGAGGATATCCCTAAAGGTCTACCACCTTTGCGTGGCATTGAGCACCAAATTGACTTTGTGTCTGGAGCACAAATTCCAAATAGGCCTGCTTATTGGAGTAATCCAGAAGAGACAAAAGAGCTTCAAAGGCAAGTTGAGGAGTTGCTTGAGAAAGGTTTTGTGAGAGAGAGCATGAGCCCTTGCTCCGTTCTCGTCCTATTGGTACCCAAAAAGGATGGAACTTGGAGGATGTGCATGGATTGTAGAGTAATCAACAAGATAACGGTAAAGTATCGCCATCCTATTCCTCGTCTTGATGACATGTTGGATCAATTGCATGGATCCAAAATCTTTTCTAAAATTGATCTAAAAAGTGGTTACCATCAGATTCGAATGAATCATAGAGATGAATGAAAAACTGCTTTTAAGACCAAATATGGGCTTTATGAGTGGTTAGTTATGCCTTTTGGCTTGACTAATGCACCCAGCACTTTCATGAGATTGATGAATCATGTTTTTAAGGATTTTCATGGGAAATTTGTGGTGGTTTATTTTGATGATAGCTTGATTTATTCTAAAAATCTAGATGAGCATGTGGAACACTTAAAACAAGTTTTTGAAGTTCTTAGAAAGCAACGCTTGTTTGCTAATCTTAAGAAATGTACTTTTTGTGTGGATCGTGTGGTATTCTTGGGTTTTGTAGTTAGTTCTAAGGGAGTTTAAGTTGATGAAGAGAAAATCAAGGCAATCAAAGAGTGGCCTAAACCTAACAGTGTAACTGAAGTTAGGAGTTTTCATGGGCTTGCTATTTTTTATAGGAGATTCGTCAGAGATTTTAGCACCATTGCTGCTCCTTTAACTGAAGTTGTTAAGAAGGATAAGGTTTTTTCATGGGGAAAAGAACAAGATGATGCTTTTAACTTGTTGAAAGAAAAATTGTGTTCTGCTCCTCTTTTGCAATTACCCAATTTTTCTAAATCTTTTGAGGTTGAATGTGATGCCTCTAGAAAAGGGATAGGTGCTGTTTTGATGCAGGACTCGAAGCCCATTGCACACATTAGTGAAAAGCTAAGTGGAGCTACACTGAACTACTAAACTTATGACAAAGAGCTATATGCTTTGGTAAGGGCTTTGGCTACATGGCAACATTATTTGTGGCCAAGAGAGTTTGTGGTTAAGACTGATCATGAATCCTTGAGATACTTGAAAAGTCAAGGTAAGCTTAATCGTCGCCATGCAAAATGGGTTGAATTCATTGAAACATTCCCATATGTGATTGCTTACAAGCAAGGAAAAGAGAATGTGGTTGCTAATGCACTTTCAAGAAGGTATGTCTTGGTTTCTTCTCTTACTTCTAAATTGATAGGTTTTGATCAAATCAAGGAACTTTATTCTAATGATTCTGATTTTGGTAAGGCT